GTGTAATTCACCAGCAGAGAGGAAAATTATAAAATCCACACGGAGTCATTGATAGAAGACTCTTCCAAAATCAATCAGAGTGCATGAGGAAAAGCGTCATTAGAGCTTTGAAAACGCCTGGTTTTTGCATGAAAACATTCTGGCACAAACTAACAATGCCTGCCATGGGTATGTTCATATCATACATTCAAAGCACTGTGACGATACCACTATAAACAGCCGCAGCTTCTCTCAAAGAATTCTGGGGCCTGTAGTTTGTTAAGGGTGCTGAGAGTTTTTAGGAGACACCCCCTCTTTCCTCACAGAGATACACTGGTACCTCGGGTTACATACGCTTCAAGTTACAGACACTTCAGGTTACAGACTCTGCTAACCCAGAAATAGTACCTCGGGTTAAGAACTTTGCTTCAGGATAAGAACAGAAATTGTGCTCTGGCGGCGCAGCGGCAGCAGGAGGCCCCATTAGCTAAAGTGGTGCTTCAGGTTAAGAACAGTTTCAGGTTAAGAACGGACCTCCAGAACGAATTAAGTTCTTAACCCGAGGTACCACTGTACAGTATTTCCAGAATTCTTTGTGAAGAGGAATTGATTGCAGGAGCCTGGGAATTGTAGGAGCTTAAAGGGGTCTGCTACAACTCTCAGCATCCTTAACAAACGACAGCTCCAAGCCATGACTGTTACAATTCAATTCAAAGTTTATTTGTTGTTGCGGCCATCCCGGTCATTCCAATGAAAAAAGGAGATAAAAATATTCTATGCCTTGCTGTGCAGAATATGCATAGGTGTATCATTAAAATGCAGTGATAACCCATTGATCTATATCTATATCAGATCTATCAATCATCTATCCATCTTAAAATACAGACCTGCACAAACAAGTTTCTATATTAAATTGCTTATCAGACTTTTTGATGAACATTCTTCTCAGTTTCCGGGCTGCAACTGAGAATCTTGCAACAGCCACGACCATTTAAAATGGTAACATAGCGCTTTGAGCGTGTGTTTCTGCATGTGAATTGGCCTCACTAGATCCTAGCCTTTGAGAGGTTCTTAATATCCTTCTTGATGGTGCGAAAGCCACTGGAGAGCCAATTGCTTGTGTAAGACAACAGCTTTGTTGCCACAGGTGAGAAACCAATGCCATGGCTCTTCCCTGTTTGAGTACAAACCCCCATGGTTGGTCCCAAAGCATCCCATATTATCTCAATGGGGCAGGAAGGTGCTTGGCTTCCATGCTCCTGCTGGAGTAATTCCAGAACCCAGTCTCAATGTTGTTGTTGTTGTTGTTGTTGTTGTTGTTGTTTTAAGCAAATGCTGGGGTGTGTGTGTGATTCAGTCAATGCCTGGCACACAGCATTGACCGTGTTCTGTCCCCTCTGTGCAAATCCTTTTTGAGGATGGTTCCCTGCAGGCATCTTCGCACCAGTAAGACTGAATAATTTCATAAATAATTACCCTTCATCAGAAAATACTTGGGGCAATGTGCTTCAAAAATATGAAGAAATTACAAGGAAACAGCGTTGCAGGAATCATAAACTTGGGAGGGATCCTGAGGCTCATCTAGTCCAACCCCCCCCCCCCCAATGCAGGAGTCCTGCCCCCAGCTTTCCCTGGGTGGGTTCGATCCGGTTTAACAGCCGGATGCTGTTATATGTATATACACATGTGTGTTTGTGTGTACACAAACACAGAGTGAAAAATATACATTTTAATGAGGCACTCCAGTCAGTTTATCCAGGTGCGCTTTTGATGTGCACCTGTGGGGTGTGCAGCAAAATGTTGCAACATGAAGTGCTCCTGCTCAGGGTTCCAGCCAACAATGGGCACTCCAATAGCCAGCCAGCACTTCATGGCTGATGAACCTGCCCAATCCTCATTGTGCTATTTTGGCGGTCTCCCTTCCAAAGATTTTCCCAGCAGCCTGCTGACACCTCCCCTCTTGTGTGTGGATGGTGCTGTTTTAGCTATATAGCTGTCCCTGCTCAGACGAATTCACTCTAATTATATAGGGCGGTGGCAATACTTCACACCAGTGTGTAGATGCCCTACCCAAATGTGGCACCCCTCACATTTAAACCCCAGATACGTTAACGGCATTGCATATTGCACATATAGTTACAACTATGAAGAGCACCTGTATTTTCTGCACGTATTCTGCCACACTCACTTAAAGGTTCGCCCTTTGAAGCATCCATTTCCAACCATGAGAGTTGTGGCCCAAAACATCTGAAGGTTATCATGTTAGCAAAGGTCATTTTAAAGGCCTGGGTGCATTTATTCAACTTCGCTTAACTAGCAACGTCATTCACTAGGCTAGACATACCGAGGGTTCATTTCACAAAGCAGTTGTTCCACCGTAGTAAGTAGGGCATTTATAGCGCATTTAAAGCACATAGCTTTCCCTAAAGGATCCTGGGAACTATAGCACTGCAAAGGATTCTTTTTTGGGGGGGGAATCATGTGCTTTAAGACTAATGTAAACAGTTAATTAAGTTCCACTTATGCATCCCCAATCAACATATCAGCCAGTAAAGCAAATATTGCTTTAGCTAGAATGGAATAAAGGCAGCAGTTAGGAAAAAAACAACAGGCAAGATCCAGAAAAATATGAAACACATTCATATCCCATTGCTTTCAGTAGGAGAGAGCTAAGCATGTTTTAATTCTGCCCATTTGGTGGACAATTGCTTCATTTGTTCCATCCTAATTGATGCAATAGGCCCTGTCTCTGCAAATGTGCAAGCTATACCAAACACACACACACCACCATACCGAAAGCAATAGCACTAGCCAGATTTGTGCCGATGAGCAATCGGGTAGGAAGCTTTTCATTCCTGAGTCACAAGTTCCAGCCTGGCAGAAGTCAGTAACAGGGTTGTCAAATGATAGCCAAAAAATGCATTCATGACAGGTCAGTTTGTCTTGCTGGCACCTAAGATTCTAAAATAGACAACTTTCATCAACTGAATACTGGCTAAACGTATTCCAGATCCGATTTCAGCAACATAACTTGCCATTGTACACGTATGCCGCTGAGCTGAACAACTATTATTGTAGAAATTTTCATCCTTTTTTTAAAAAAAACAACAACATATCAAGCCATTAGCAGCTGAATAATATATATATGGCTTGCAACAAACTCTGGCATTCAGGTGTGTTACCACTCGACATTCAGCAGCAAATTGTTCTGAGAACCTGGATTGCTAGATCTCTTCAGCAAAGGAAGAATTGGTTTGCAGGGTGTATGGTCACAATCTTCTCCCCACCCACTATGGGAAACCTAGTTTTAAAGTGGGGTTCTCTCCCCTCCCCACCAGGGCACTGTGGTAGGTATCATGTCAACTTACAGAAGCAGTAACAAGAACTAATTCAACCTACCGAAAGTCAGGAAATTTTAATTTTAGGAACAAATAAGGGGCAGAAAGCCATTGATTCATGGCACAGAGACAAAAGGGAAGTAAACCAAAAGGGGGTAAAAAGGGGGAGGGCATTATCATTTATTATTTTCGACTCATTCTCGTGCCTAAATGGAATGAAGTCATCTCTTCCTAGAGAGCAACAGAAGATATTGATTATCAAAGTGCTGCTGTTGAAATCAGGCCAATAGGAAGCCCAGATAAAACTGAAGTGGATTTGAAAATCAAGCCTATTAGTGAGAACAATCCCTCTTAGGCTGAAGGAAATTACACATCTGATGAATGCACAAGCGAGCTTCCTACAGGCTGAGCCAAAGATGTAACTCAGAAACTCAGCAGATCAGATTAAACTGCAGATAACAGCCAGGGAGGCCTGCTATTCATTCATTCCCGAATGTGCTACATGCTTCGAAAGAGCAACTCTTCCAAATGCGTTTCAGGAACTAGAACCCAAAAGGCGATTCTGCCACCCCTTCTGAATATGCTACTAAAGTAAGAGAGAAAGACTACTGAATTTAGGGTGGCCATGTTGCCCTGCTTTGCAGAGGACACTCCTCTATTTGAAGGGCTGTCCTGTCCAGGGATCAGGAACTAAGGGCGAGCAATTGGACCTTGAAGTTGCCCATCAACAGTTTACACCTGGAGTACAGGCAGAGTAGACACACCTGTCTTCCCAGTTATTGCAAGATGCGCCATGTTTCTATTTAAATTACAGTATTTATTTCTAAATTCACGGAGGAGACACTTGAGAGTCCCATGGAGTGCAAGAAGATCAGACCTATCTATTCTTAAGGAAATCAGCCCTGAGTGCTCACTGGAAGAACAGATTCTGAAGCTGAGGCTCCAATACTTTGGCCACCTCATGAAAAGAGAAGATTCTCTAGAAAAAACTCTGATGTTGGGTAAGATTGAGGCCACAAGGAAAAGGGGATGACAGAGGACGAGATGGTTGGACAGTGTTATAGAAGCAACCAACTTCAATTTGACGAAACTCTGGGAAGTAGTGGAAGATTGGAGTGCCTGGCATGCTCTGGTCCATGGGGTCACGAAGAGTCGGACACGACTAATCGACTAAACAACAACAATAATTAAATCAGCATATGCTATTTCTATGCAAACTCTTTTGGCGAGGGGGGATATACATATCCCCCTTTTGGGCCGTGTGTAAGTGGCTAAAGTTGATTATAAAGAAGGAGCTTTCAAGCTTTCTGTTGCAAGGTGTGATGGAGAGTCACACATGGAATTATATTAAGGTGCAACTCCAAACACTCTTAGATGAGACTGATTTTCTAGATCCATTTCAGGCCTGGTGTGGGGAGTAAGGTTGCCTTGGTCGCCCTGTATTATGACCAATGTTGGGACAGGTGTGTGTGTGTGTGTGTCCCTGTTTGTTCTCCTTGACCTCTCAGTGACATTTGAAACTGTCGGTCTTACACAGCCCTCTGGGGAGAATGTCTGAGCTGACAATCTTAATACGCATGGAAGTTATACAATGCCTGTTCTTCATTCTAATTTCAGAGAATCATAGAGTTGGAAGGAACACAGGGGTCATCCAGCCCAACCCCTTGAAATGCAGGGAACTTTTGCCCGACATGGGGTTCAAACCCACAACCTTGAAATTAAGTGTCTTGTGCTCTACCAGCTGAGCTATTTGTGGGGACATTATACAACAAGGAACATTCATTCTGATTTGTTTGTGTGGAGTTCTTTAAAGTCTCCTAACTAATGCAAAGTCTTCAAAATTTGGGTCAGTAGCAGTCTTCCCATCAATCGCTTGTCCTACACTTTTAGTGCATTCCCCTGTCAATTTCCCAACATGAAGAGTCAATTTTTTAAAGATTTGTTGTGCCAGAGTTATTTAATCCACAAACCTAAATTTCCAGCATACAATCAATACAAGCAATGCTGACAATCTCAAGGCAACACTAATCTATTCTCTTCACTGGCTTTACTCAAGCCCTTTTAATTCTCTCCCTCTCTCTTAGAAAAACAGACAAAACCTTGGTTTCGGAAGAATGTTTTTGTCAGTGTGGAGAAAACCTCAAGAAGCTTCCCTAAAAGCGATTACATTTTTTTAAAAATGTGCTTCATAGTGACAATTATTTTCCTTTTGCATTTCTAAACAGGAAAAGTGGACATTCTAGATCAGGGGTCCCCAAACTAAGGCCCGCGGGCCGGATAAGGCCCGAGGGACTCGTTTATCCAGCCCACGGCAACCCCCGCCACCTGCTGCCGCCACCTGCTCTTACCGGTGCTGTGCTGTGTGGCTGCTCACTTCTGGATCGGAGGAGCACCGAAAATAGCTTGTGTGCATGCGCAATCGTTATTTCTGGTGCTCCTCCGACCTGGAAGTGCGCTGGAAATAGCATGTGCACACGTGTTTGGGCACGCGCTCCCCCGCCCTCCGGCCCACTGTGCGATCGGCACTGTAGACACCAGCCCAAGGTTTGCTGACCCCTGTTCTAGATTATGTGTTGTGATCACCATAACCCCATTTGATCTGCGGATCCATCACAGGTGTCCCATAATACCCATTCTGTATTGTAATATTTTTAGTGTGCCAGTACCTAAACTTTGGAACTCCCTGCCTATTGATACCAAGTAGGGACCTTCTTCATTGTACTCTTTTTGGCACCTGCTAAAAACATTTTTGTTTAGACTCGCTTGCCCAGATATGTAGAATGTGGACTTGCATTTGGTTTTCAGTTTATCAATTTTTATCTTTTTTTGAATATTTTAATAGGTGCTTTTAATTGTTTTTACCAACATTATTATTATTATTATTATTATTATTATTAATATTATTATTGTCTTTTTGTAAACTGCTTTAAGGTTCCTTACAATGAACAGGTATAATAAATTTTATGAAATAAAAATAAGTAAATATTCCCTGCCGCATACCCCTAAAGACAACTGGAAGAGAATCTGTCCACTCAAATTCAAGAAACATTTCAGCACAGCAAGATGAACGCGGAACCTGATATTTTACCATTCTGCAACATTTTGTTGCATGTATCTCTTGGGTTTTGTGTGAGTCTGTGTTTCTCGGTTTCCTTATTTCTCTTTCCTTTTGTGCTGTACCCCTCCATGTTACCCTCTTTTTTTATATATAAATTCATTTTCTGCCATGATTCTCTAGTATTACTGGTTACGGTGCCTACTTGTAAATACTGCCAAAAAGAGAACTGTCATAAATAAAGTAAGCCAGAATTAATCATTTGCTTAAAAACAAAACCTCTGATGCCCCTAATTTCTTGGCTTGTGATCATTTGGCTCCTGACATCAGCTAATAAGTGTTTTGATCTTTTCGTGAAATACTACTCTTTCATCCTGTCTTAATTGCATCCAAACTGCCACTAAATACTGTGCAAATATTAAAGCGTTTCAGACACTTGGAGGCAATGTTGCACAGCCGGGCTTTGCCTGTGGCGCCTACGTTTATTTCCTGTGTTTCACCACAACGTCTTATTTTGCAGACTGCCTTAGCACTTCAAGGAAAAGCCAAAGTAAGACCTTCAAAAGTGGAACCAGCACGAATGATAAGCACAGCTTGTGTTATGGCTGAAATTAACTAGACCAAAAGATACTCTGGTCTAGTCAATTCCACCCAGATCTCTTCTGAATTCTAAGAAATTAAAGGGAAAGTCTGCAATTAAAAATAAGGAAGGCAGAGCAAAAAAAAAAAAAATCCCCTCTACTTTCGTACAGTTATTGGGATATTAGTGCCATTTAAGGGAATTCACTTTGATTGCTGTTGTAACTGTAGAAATTGTGATAGAGCAGGGCTCTTGTATTCTTAATTCAAACTCCTGACGCCTGCCTAATACAGGGTGTCTCTAGATTGCACTCTGCATTGTAACATTTCCATATGCCTCTCAATGAATGGTTAATGCAAAAAAAAGGAAACGGTGATATCATGGGGGTGGAAATAGTTCTTGGGGTTTCTAGATTCACATCAAAAAGATGTTCTATTTAGGACAATGCTGCAGATTGATACAGACAGACAGAGAGAGATCACCGTAGCTCAAATAAAAATTGAGAGACTACTTGGAGTTTTGACCACTGTCAACTCTACATAAAACATTCCTTTATATTGGGTTTGTCCACTTAATGTGCTTCTTCAGCATTCACCCTAATTTGCTTTTGCAAAGCTTACAGAGGGTTTAAACTATATCTGGTCTATACTGAACAATCATTTCTGATTTACTCGTGGGGTGTTTACTCACTACCCCATTAATCATTCTTTCAACCTGCAGTTTTTAAAAAAGGATTTCATTGTCACTTTCCTAACTGCAAAAAGTCTGTTTATTTTATTTTTTAAAGTGGATTTGCAGCACTAATCCACTTCAATCTGCATTAATTGTGCAAACCTAAATTCATGGTAGGGACGCGGGTGGCGCTGTGGGTTAAACCACAGAGCCTAGGACTTGCCGATCAGAAGGACGGCAGTTCGAATCCCCGCAATGGGGTGAGCTCCCGTTGCTCGGTCCCTGCTCCTGCCAACTTAGCAGTTCAAAAGCACGTCAAAGTGCAAGCAGATTAATAGGTACCGCTCCGGCGGGAAGGTAAACGGCGTTTCTGTGCGCTGCTCGGGTTCGCCAGAAGTGGCTTAGTCATGCTGGCCACACAACCTGTAAGCTGTACGCCGGCTCCCTCAGCCAGTAGAGCGAGATGAGCGTCACAACTCCAGAGTCGTCTGTGACTGGACCTAAAGGTCAGGGGTCCCTTTACCTTTAAAATTCATGGTATGTGTCTTAATCCCCTTCACCCACAAAATAGTGACAAGGAAAAAAACCAGGGCCTTTTCCTTAGGATTTTTGTGACCTCCAGGTTGAATGCCATAACATTACACTGTGTTCTGTGGGAAAGAAAAGCAAGGCCTGCGCTTTATTACAGTCTCTCCCCCTGCCCTCAGTACAGGCCAGCAAGAAAACCCAGTAAAATTGTCTAGCAAGAAGACCCTTAGATAGGAACATCAGAAGAGCTCTGCTGGATCATGCCAGCTGGATTATCTAGTCAAGCATGCTGTTCTCACAGTGGCAAACCAGACGTCGCAATGGGAAGCCCACAAGCAGGGGAAAATGATTATGTTGCTTTAACTTACGGCGAGCTTTATTTTAACAGCCGAAATCGTTTCATGTTGGACACGAGCTAACAAAACACAGACTTTGTTCTGAGGTGGAAAATAAATAAAAAGATAGCATATCCACGGCACAACAAACTAATTTAAGGCATTCCCATTGCGTGGCTATTTATTTGGAGAAATTGTAAGCCTATGATGCCTGTAATTTAAAAAAGCTAAAAACTGACAGAGACGTTTTCAGTCACTGAAAAAACTGCAGCGCTGCCCTCTTTTAGCACTCTAAATTTAAGGCTGGCGTGTCACCCTAAGCACACGCCGTTTCCAAAAAGTTCCTCTGCAGTTAAAACAAGCAGGCTCTATTGAAAGCACGCCGAGTGCTAAGAATTCCTCCCGCTACCCCAGTCCACCCAACTGATTAATTTAGGTCACACAAGTGGGTGTTTGAGTTAAGTAAGCAGGCAGAGTGGTGATGCCAAAGACTTGACTGAACTACTGTAGGCCTCGCAAATGCCTAAAGATTATGGGTGGACAAGCCAGTTTTATGAAACAAACCAATGTTAAAAATAGGACACCCAAGAATATTCCAAGAAACTCAAGACACCAATTTGATATGTTTACTTTTTCTCCAGTGTTCTGTTGAACTGCCAACGTTACGGCTTACTTTGTAGGTTGTCTTTCCATTTCTTTTAGACAGCACTCACCCCTCTTTTCTAGGAAAATTGGGGGGGGGGGAGAGATGCATGTCTATGCATTTGTGAAAGAACTTTGTATTTAACTCAAAGGAACTGGTTTTGAGAATCACAATAAGGACCCGTAATGAAACTCCTATCTGGAATTCACATTCAACGTAACAAAGTGAAAACTTTGTCTTATCTTTGACTGCACACAGACCATACATTTTAAGTACATTTTGAGCAAATTTCTCCACCCTCACCTCAAAATCACAAACCAGAATTACCCATCGCAGAACCAGAATTCCCAGCACCCTTATTAAACTACAGTTCCTAGGCTTCAAATTCAGTAATGATGGGATACAGGCAGGAGGAGGACTACAAGTTCTGAGACAGCTTTTCTCGCGTATAAATATGTGTCTGTTTGTGTGGACATGCTTGTTTCTGTGCTGTTACATCTGCCAGTTGAGGACTGTCTACAAAAGCAAGATGCCAGAATAAACCTTTTAACGTGCAACTAGATCCCTTTTGGGCTTTGTTGTAACAGACTCAGCACGGCTATGCTTCTGGAAACTTTCCTTGTAGAGAATTTTAGGGGGCAAACTGTTCCTAAATTATAACTTGCCTGCAGTTTGTTTATTTATTAAAAAGATTCTTAAACCTGCCTTTCAGGGCACGCTGCCCTCACAAAGAGGCTTACGACACTCTGAAAATACACTCTGGTTTGCGAACAAAGAGCTGTTAAGCGCCTTCCTCCTTTCAAAAGACAATAATTATTATGAAAGCAATAGCCATGGTAGAGTTTCTTTTTTATAAGTGAAATTATCTATCTCTATCTTGTAAAAATCACGTCACTTAGAGACTCCTTACGTAGCAAGAGACTAATAAATAGAAACAGTGATGATGA